TGCAAATAAGTCTGGACTAATAAGTTAGCAACTGTTTTTTGAATGTAGATGGCTGTAAATTTATACTTTCCTTGTGTTCATACATATAAATTGTTCCACAGCTATTCATATTAGAGCAGTTCTGTGTCATGGTTAAAAGTTTTTGTTCACATAAAATCACATCATATAAAGCAGTGAAACAACAAAAAATATACTTCAGTTGATTGCATTTAATTGACTGTAATTTACTATATTGACCGTATGAAATGAGACTGTAATCTTTCTCTCACATATCAGAGCACAGTGAAAAGCTGTCACATTGGTTTTGAGATTTGTCCATGTCAATCCACATTAAAGACATTTAGACAACCTGTTGGTTACATGAATGAGAGGATTTAGTCTTTTTCTTTTGTGAAAGAAAAAGACTTTTAATTTATGATTTGTCATCTGATACTGTAATGGTTAATGACAGTATTGTACATGGATTCAATAATTGGAATTTTTCTTCCTTGAGCATATGCTTCATCATTTCCTAGGTCCTGTGGGACCAAGGCCGAGTTGTTGGCATTGTCAGAAAATATAATTTGCCCTTTTTCTGTGTTGTGTCAAGTCACTTAGCAGGTGCCAAAAGGAGGTCACTGGAGACATACACCAGAGGGATGGGTGTAAAGGGAGAATACAGGAAGACAGTAGAAAGCCAATCCAAGCACTCCTGTTGTTTTCCAGGTTACAGTGTATTAGTATTTTTGGATATTTAAATAATCCTCTTACATGTATTTTAGTAATGAGAGGTCTTTATTTTTTTAGGGATGGCTTTTATTTTACCCATTAACAGAAGTACTTTTTTTAGGCAGAGGGTAACACAGGCCTTCTAAGCTTAAATATAAATGTCTGTGTTTGAGAGATCTGAGAGTCAGCTGGGATCACTTGCTTGGTGAATTGGTTTTACCCAAGGAAAATGGATCCTGTCCATTTCAATGGCAGATACCAGACAAATCTCAACAAATTAAAGAAACTGATTTGTAAGTACAACTGCACTAATGAGTCTTGAAAAGCAAAATAGGCAAGAACCTTCTTTAGTTAGAATCAGAGGTGAAAAAAAGCCTGCATTCCAAGCAAGAGCAGATTTGGAAGCAAAAGACATTTTATCAAGGAGGATAGACAGAACTGCCTCTTTATTCAGCCTCTTCAAAATGGGTATTGGGTGGAAGCAGAGAGCCGTGGAAGAAAGGAAAATGAGGTACATTAGCCAGGAAGGCCAGTTTTAGACTTCAGAATAGAAAAGGGCATTTGACAATACTCAAGCTGAATCACGTCTTGCAAAGGAAATTTAAGGGTTCACTGAAAGTATTTTTCAGCAGTGGAAACAGAAAAGAACTAAGGAAACAAGGGGAGCATTATCCAGTAAGGGTGAGGTGGAGACAAAAAGCATTGTTGATTTAACCTAGAAAATTAAGACCAAATGAGCTGCCCCGAATTTCAATAGCAGTGGTCATGAACACAGGGACAGAATTTTTCTTAAACTGAAAAAACACACAGCTTTTAGTACTGAATAAAGCACAAAGATTACTTTTTTTGCATATGACAATTCTTTTTATCCTAATACAGAGTTGACTCAATGAGTCTGTGATGTGCTGTCCTTTGCAGATCCTTTCCCCATAGAATGGCCACGCCACTGATCAATCCCTTCTGTGGCTATGTACACTGCAGCCCTCTTTCTTGGATTGCAGCATGTATTTTCATACTGTTTCCTTGTCTGATAGAATTATTGTGAATTCTGAATTTTAACTGTGTACTTTAGCGTAATAGCAAAATATCATTTGCCTATTTATTATTGACAATTAATGCAAGAAAGATTGTGCCAAAGTAAGGAAACTTTTTTCAGTAGCACATTGCTATGTGAATTAGACTTAAGATACTGATGAGATACTTTCAAATTGAGGATTGAAATCTGATTTCAGCACATTAGGGCTTTTTCTTTTAAGCTAGCAGTATGAAGAAAAAATAGTAATAAGGCTTTATTGAAACATTCATGCTTCAAATATGGTATTTGTAGAAGTAACCTGGGAAAAATATACATCTACTTTCATGGAAATTTAGGCAGCTGTATCAATTCTATGTGTGTGTGTACAGGAGAGAGAGTAATATGTCAGTGGCTGACTGGCAAGAGTCACTGATACAATGGAAAGCCAGAGAACCTCAGTAGACCAGGGCTTGAGGGCTTAATTTGATACTCTCTGAAAAAGCATATTATTGCTGCAAGAAAATGAAATGGTCAGGGGAATAGAAATATGTTCCTTGCAATAGTTTATTTGGTATTGAATGTAGCTATACAATCCACATTTCTCAAATGAGTGCTGCTGGGAAGCAAGCAACCAGGCTTCTATACCAGTCAGCAAAGTGGCAAATGCAGTTTTCAAATGAAAAGAAATATATCTAAAGCTTACTGGTGAACATCTCCCACATTGTTCTTTGTAGTCTTGCTTTCATTTTATACAGCAATTTTTACAGAAATTTTCTTTGATAGGATTCAAAATCCTCTACCCTTCAGAAATAATGTTCATTCATGTATATAAGCTTTAGTTTCATCTGCCTTCTATTATCTTCTGCCCCTCCAGCCTTCCTCCCATAACTTCCTTCCATCAAATTCCTTGTTTCCTGCTGAAATATTTTTACATTTCATCTTGCCTAAGATAGTTGTGACCAAACTACTACATTTTGATGATGTTTGCTCTCCATTTGATTTATCATATGACTTTAGAGCATTTTATCTAATTTTAAGAAATATTTTCCAGGAAGCAGACCTTTATTAAGAATATGTATGTATTTTTATGCATATATATAAAAAATAGCACATATTCATATTCATATTCTTGAAACTGGTTGAAAGTATTATCATAGGTATATAAGGTAATCTTACTTTGGTGAAGAAGACTTACTTTGACATGAAAAGTAATTAAAATAAAATTGGTTTCTTACTTATTACTAAATAGAAATATTACTTATTTTTTGTTATTACTAATGCTTAGTGTTTTTAGCTTTAATTCTTGTTTATAGGGTTTTTTCAAGCTACAGAAAATAATTCTGAAAACATGCAAGTTTTGTTCTTTTTCTTGCTTTTCATTCTTTCACCTCAAATATAATTTTGACTTTAAACTACCAATTTTATATTGTAAATTAAAACTGGAGATCTGTATTTGGAGAGGCTTATACTACTAACACAGTTGCTTTTATGCCCATTTAAACGTAATAAATAGTTTTGTTAGATGCTGTGCTTCTTTTACAGTGTGTTTTTAAGGTGGCTTCAGATTTACTGCTGGGAAAATCTTTAACGTTCAAAGTAAATTGTTCTGTGAGGGAGTTTTTGATGTCCAATAGGAGCAAAGCACTATGATAAAAAAACTCCAGTTAAATTCCTTAAGGCAAACTTACTTCATTACCTCATTTATGGATCAGTATGCCAAGTTTAAAAAGAAAGGCAATTTCGTTGGAGCAATTCAAATGGCAGAAAATCTTGTGATAGTTGAATTGAACTAATAATAAAGATGAGTGCCAATAGAGTAATAGTAGGAAAAGGAAGAAAGCTAAGTAAATGTATTGTTATACATATTTGTTCTGAGTCATCTATAAAACTAACCAAAATTGGGTTGTTTCCAATGCAAATTTGTTTGATTCTCTCTGTAAGACTTCAAACTTGATTTCCTACCTTTACACTTGCCTGTGTAAAGGAGCATTTTATACCCAGTGTGTTCAGACTGTTTACTTTGGATTTTATCCTACAAAACTGATTAGAATCCAAGCTGACCATACTCCTGTAAGTATGAGTATCTTGTTTGCATATCTAGTCAAACTTCATTTCACAATATAAACCCACAACTATTACATTATATTTGCCATGTTGAGCTACAGATATGTGACTTGGATGCACATTACTTAATGCTATAAACTAGTAGCTCTGCGCTAATACTCAAGTTGGAATGGTAAATAGGGAGTCCTGTGTTGCCACTTCCGACAAGCACTTCATGGGAATTTTAAGTGTAAATTCCTGTGCCTGTAGGAATTTGAGAAAATCACAGTTTATTAGCTGTTTCTGTTATGAGGTTGGCTTCCCTTTTGTAGAGGGATCCTGGAAGAACCATGAAAAACTCTCTTTCAGGAGTCATTGCCTTGCAAAGAATCATGGTAATATCAGCCAGCTGTCTGATAGTATCATGGCATAACAGAAAATTACTTGTAGGGACCTGATAACCTGGAATAGCAGTATTGGATTGTATTGGATTTTTTAAAGGAAATATTTCTGTGCCAAGTGTTTTGTATCTTTCTGACATATAGTAAGAAAAGTGGGGTTTTTTCCTTACTTACTTAGTCTTTATTCGCTTGGTTCTAATATTTATTTTCCTGAATTGTAGATTAAAATATATCTGGAAGAAATGAAATTTTAATCTAATTGCAGAGATAAACTTGAAGAATTTATGTGTACCTCTGTGAATTTTATTGATGATAAATGATAAAATATTACTTTATTTAATGTTTTATCTTGAATGAATGTCAACCTCTGTTGTGTTTAATCTATTTTTTACTTCCCAACATGTTATCTCTCTATATACGTATATATGACATATAAATGAAATGAAATAAGCAATAAACTCATGTCATTAAATAGAATAACATTTGAAAAAGCTACCTTTTTTCCATAATATACCATTAATTATTGCATTGAGTTAAAAACCGGTAAGTCTGCTTAAAGATAAGGTACAACTTAAAATTTGCCCAAATTGATGTTCTGGATTTTTCCTTACAAAATATATTTTGTTGAAAGACACCTCACTTACATTTCTTAAAGATTAGTAATTGTTTAGTTCTATAATAGCTTGCAATAAAACCATTTAGAACTGGGAAAGAGAAGTGTTTCCCATTTCGATTAAGAACATAGTTCAAATGTGAAGATTTTTAACAGACTACGAAATAAACACTTCAAAAAATATTTGCACTAAGGGTGTTTTTTTCTTGTTGCTCTGCAGTCTCAGTTTGAACTCAGGGTATTCCATATTCGTGGAGAACATGCTGTCTCAACTGCTCAGCTTGAGGAAACCATTGCACATCTGAAGAATGAACTTGATAATAAATTAAACAGAAGAAATGAAAAAGCAAAGGATATTGGTGTTTCTACTGAAGATGATAACCCACCAAAGGCATACCGAAATGTATGTATACAGACTGACAGAGAAACTTTTATAAAGCCTAGTGAAGAAGAAAACAGAGCTGTGAAAAATAACCAAATAGTACCCAAAAAGCTTAATATTTCTTCTTTGACACATAGTATATCTGCCCAAAGTGAAAATAAGGACAATTACAATGTACAGTCATCAGAAAGTGTCTTGTCTTGTCAACCAAAACAAATGCTGCCTCCACCACCACCACCACCACCACCTCCTCCCCTTCCTGATTCTTCGCTGTCTGCTGTAGTTCCTCCACCACCACCTTTGCCAATGGGTCCGGCTTCACTGACATCTCAGTTTGGATCTCATCCACCGCTGCCACCTCCACTTTCTGAAGGCTGTAGGGATTTTCAGGCACCACCACCACCGCCACCCCCACCGCTTCCGGGGCTGGGACCTCCTGTTCCTCCTCCACTGCCTGGATCTGGGTTACCTCCACCCCCTCCACCTCCTGGGCCTGGGTTCTTTTTTAATAGCACTTTATCTTCAAACCAAGGTCCTCGAAAACCTGCCATTGAACCTGGCCGTCCCATGAAGCCTTTGTACTGGACACGAATACAATTGCAAGATAACAGGTAAAATATACTTACTTGGACTTGAGCTGCTGCTTACAGGTCAGTGTAGAGACATGGAATTTACATAATTCTAGAATAAAACCTGAATCAGTTCTAGAAGTCTGAAAAAATAAGTTGTTTTAAAATATCATATTTAAATTAAAATTATATGTATTATAAATGAAAACTTTTTGCATCATAACAAAAACATGTTTTATTTGGGCTTTTTCTCCCAATAATTCAAGCGCTGCATGGATAACTATAGTGACAGAGTGCTTCCCAGATTTAGCACTAAAGTGTAAAAGGGTAGCCAAGAGATTAGACAGATTTTTTTTTCTTAAAATTAAGTCTGTGTTTGCATTAGAATTGAAATGTTAAAGTTTGGTCAGGTAAGAATTTAGTTTCATTCTTGTTTTCCAGTCACTTTGTGATCCATTCTCCAGAGAACTATATTGTGTCATCCTCTGTGATTCCAGTTCTAGAAACTGGAAACAGTTAAACTGGAACCTAACCTCTGGGCATAAGTCTGTCAGGGCAGGAAGAATAAAGCATATGTGTAAATATATGCAGCTCAGCAACCTGCAGCATGAAGTGTCCATTAGGGACAAGTCTCAGTACTGATGGAGACCTCTACAGCTTTAAAAAAAAAACAGATATAAAATTTTAAAAAGAATATCCTCCTTACTGTGATATAGTGCAGGGATAGAATCCCAGATGTGTTTGAGGGAGGGATGCCATCCAGAGGGACCCTGATATGCTTGAGTAGTGGGACTGCAAACAAGTCCAAGTGCAAGGTCTTGTACCTGAGTTGGGGCTCCCAGTATCAGTAAAATCTGTGATTAGAGGAGGTAGATTTAGGTAGAATATAAGTAAGAAATTCTTTACTGTGGGAGTGATGAGGCACTGAAAGGTTTCCAAGAGGACCTGCAGATGCCTCTTTTTTGAAAGTGTTCAAGGCCAGATAGGATGGGGCCCTGCACAGGCTGGTCTAGTGGAGGTTGTCCCTGCCCATGGGAAGGGGTTGGAATGAGATTATCTTCAAGGTTCTTTCAATCCAGGTAATTCTGTGGTTCTATAACAGTGTTCTAGTAGAATACATCAAATCCAAAGTTACAACAAAATACGCTGTTTTGTCAATTAGTTTGGAAGGGGTCATTTGGTGAACAGACATAAATAAGCATTTTTGGCCAGGTTTTTTTGAAATTATCCTACAGTCTTTGTTTATGCTACCTGTTTCTTTAGCTGACAGGAGAAAAGCGGTTCTCCCAGTCAAACTTTCTGAACCAGCATTAGTACCTTACTGCCACAGTTACTCAGCTGCTCTTTTTGGATTTGACTGATATTGACTTTCCTTCTCGTGTTTATTACTGTAATATGGAGCTCATTAGGAGGCATGGATCAAAAAGGATTTTTGGGGGATGCCTAAGTGACACAGACTATTTTATTTTAATGAAGAGTTGTTCCTTAATTCAGGTCCCGTATTAATGCAAGTAATAAAATTACGTTATTATTGGGATCTTAAAGTTCAAAACCGTTATTATCTGTGTTCAAAATAATGTTAGCCTAGCAGCAGTTACCAAGATGCTAAATTTAAATATTTTAATAAGCTAAATTATATTACTATAGCCATAATGCATCATAATATGTGCTATACAGTATATACACACACTATATTACTTATTATTATTATATTATTATTGTTATATTATATTATTAATACAATATACTGTTCATTTTTCGAAATTATTATAGTTTATTTATTCTGTAACATGATTTTTATAAATTATTTATTTAAATTATTTAGTATTATAATATTTTATTTTCAGGTTTCTCTATTATATTTAAACATATTTGAAGTAAATATCTGCAATTAGGTGCATTTAAATATGAGTTTTATTTTACTTTACAGCTCTGAATTTATTTTGATGAGAAAGTACCATTATTCTGGTGTAATAAAACATTGTAAGATGTCAATATTTTATATAAAGTATTTGACAAGAACAAAGAAATTACTGAAATGTCAGTTGTATAGTCTTAGTTTTTCAGAATTAAAAACAATTGAAATTTTTCAGAATTGAAATATTTTGGAGCAGGAGTCTTGAACATTTCAGTTTTACTTTCCCAATATTTCTTTGGCATAATTGTTTCTTAGTGAATAAATAGTTGGTCCATAAATAAACTTTATTGAAATTCTTCCCATTGAATCAATTAAATAAAAGTTTTCTTTCTGAGACAGTGCTGGTTCACCAAGTTTTTGCAAGGTAAGGGATAATTCATAGCATTCTGATGAATTGCTGGTTACCAGATGTAATGGTCCAGCATTTTCATGGTCTGTATTAGAACTGGAAAATTCTACAAGGGTTTGCTGCTCAGATCAGAAGCTGTCCAGGACTTCTGGTTGCAGAGCCAGAAAGAATCCTTCATTCTTCAGTATTGCTAACACAACTATCCTGGTTCAGAGACAACAACTTATATCAGGAAGGGTGAAGCTGTGGAGCTCTAAGCATGTCCTGTGACATTGAATATGCTGCATCAGCAAATGTTAATAAAAAAAATGAAAAGTTCCTTAAACATTCATGATAGTAGACAGTTGAGTATTAAGTAGAAAAAAAAATCCTAAATTTGAAAAAAAAAAAGATTGGCTCCTTTTGAATTGGTACATATTCAGTTTTGTTGCATATTACATCTATGTTCAGTGACATCAGCCATTTGTATTTTGTAGTGGTTTTCTTCACTTTTTTTAATTGCGAATAATTTCACTGCCTTTTAGTGACATCTGCTGGAAGATGTGGTCCCACCTTCTACTGATAAACAGACAAGAACACTCAGAAGTTTTGTCCCACATATTTTCCTGAAACATTGAAATTTTTGAAACAAGGCCCTTTCAGAATTGATGTGCAATGTTTGTAGCACTACATATTATTTTCCCCTAATCCAGATAAAACTGGAGGATTGTGTAAACAAGCTCCCAGCTGATCCAAAACTAAATCTGGTCTTGGAAGGCAAAAAAAGAAAGAAAGATAATCCACATTTAAAATTTGCAGTTGGTTGAATGGAGAAGAATACTGGCTAGTCTCCCAAATATAAGCCACATAATTACTCTCGTTTCTCAGAACTACAACAAGGATAAATATGAGCATACAACATCTGTGGATAACATGAAGTAAATCAGGTCCTATACAAATTTCCCCAAACACATTTAAAATATGCTTGAATAAAGTTTGTTCACTATTTGTTGATACTGTTTATTTTTATAGGTCTGGATAGATTACTGGGAATTTCTCAAAAAAGCTGATTGGAGTACTTCTAATCCTAGTTGAAGTGGCAGAAATCTCTTGACATATATTTGCACAAGCTGCCGTTATTGCACCAAGAACAGTACAATATGAATGATGCATAGTCTAGCAGGCATGGACTAAGTAGCTCAAACTAATAACTAAAACTCATAGGAATACTTTTGACTCCTTAGAGGAGCAAGGTATAGGAAAGGAATGCTCTGTGTGTTGCTTTGAGTTTAAATCTATCATGGATTTTCATCTATTATGGTTAGATCTATTATAGTTTCTCATAATGTTTAGAATTGTTATTATTACCTTTCCCTTTATAGGAAAACTGCTATGCCAACATTATGGGAATCACTGGAAGAACCTGATATACTTGACACTACTGAGTTTGAATATTTATTCTCCAAAGACACCACTCAGGAAAAAAGAAAACCATTATCAGAGACTTACGAAAAAAAAACCAAGGCCAAAAAGGTATTTATTGTTTCTTTGTCTTTTTTTGTTTTGTTTTTTTCTTTTTCTTTTTTTTTTTTTTTTTTGTCTGTGTGTGGTACTGTTTAGTCTATTTTGAGAAAACTCCCTTTTAATTTTTGGATTTTTTGTGAATGAGCAAGAAAGAAAACTATGGATTGCTGATTCAAACTCAAATCTCTTGCTTGAGAATGCAAGGCTATTATTTACCTTGGAAAATCCTTTACCTTTGCTAATGAAAGTTCCACATCCTAGTGAGGTAGAAAAAATACTGTACAGGGGAATAGAATTAAAGTTCTAATTAGTAACTGAAAGTGACAGTATTTCGGCCATTATTTGCCCTTGAGCTGGTGTATAATTAATGCCTGTCTTTAGTTACTCCAGCAAACCTCTCTTCTACTGAGATTAATTTTGTTAGACAAATAAAATTTAAAGCAAAATTTTAAATAAGGAATGCCAATTTTTTTCCAACATAGCTAAGGAGTTGTGTCAGGAAGGGAAAAGACAATCACGTCTTTGATGGCCGAAGCTACAGGCAGTAGCTGTGTCATTGCCATTGCATTTAGATATGATCCATTACAGAGGCAGCTGGCACTTGCCAATTGGGATGTGCAGATGGGAAAAACAAATGCCATTAGTAGTATTTACTGCCAGAAAAATTCTGGACTGAATAATAATCAATACTGTTTTCCTAAAACAGTGTGATTACATGTCAGAAACTACTGAAACATTTATTGTGTTTTAAATCTCTTTGAGTTGACCTGCTTGGAACCACAAGAGGGCACTTTGCATGTGAGCTGTGCTTGCTACCTTCAATTTTATAATACATAGAGCGTGAAACGTATACATGTTGGGGCTTTCAGATCTTTCAGAACATCTTTCATCATAAATTCCCTGTATTGTGTCTTAATGCAACAGCTAATGAGAAGTATCAGTAAGGCTGTAGAATTTATAGAACTCAAATTCATGCGATGCAAAAAGTAAATAATTTAAAATGGGGCCTGGATGGGGACATGCTGGCATTTGTAAATGCACACCAAAGAAATAATAGTTACAGTCCTTCAAATATTAGACTAACGTTGGGCATGAACATCTCCGTGAAAAATATTTTTATATATTTTACTTGGCAAATGCTTGAAATGAATGTGATATGTAGCAGCAGCTGTATCCATAAATTCAATTAGTTCGTATATCTTATGTCTTCTTTCTAATATTTATTTTTACATTTCATTAATTTACCTTTTTTCAGAAAGAATTATGTAATAGGAAATAAAGGTTTCTAAAGAACTTTGAAGTATTTAATCACTGTAACTTTATTGGGGAATTAATATGCATAAGTAGTTGCCTTTTTATTTCAAAATCTCAGTAATTAAGGGAGTATATCTATTTCTCCAAGGGGGTGACAGCAAACCCGGTACAGAATTAGGCCTGTATACTGAAAGATGAAATTATGCTTTTCTTTTTCCTTGCTGCTTTGCAAACTAACTTACTTGTTTGAGCAGCGTGATTTTTTAGTGATCTCTCTTGACTTATCCAAAATTGAATTGGGTAGTACTGACAGAACATATTGTTATAATAATATGCATTATTTCTTGTGAGCAACCAGTGTATTTTCATACAAAGACATCCTTTTTATTTCTATCAACGTTTTAATTATTCTGCTTTGTTATTAGAGGTAATAAGATATTTTAAGACAATGGATATTTTACTTAAATTAAAGAAATGAAGAAAGCTCCTTTAAAGTACTGTGGAAAATACAAAAGTAAACCCCCTTAGAAACAAATTCAAAATTATATCTATTACCATGTCTTTGGTTTTGAAAACCGATGGGAATGTGATGATGGTGTTGCAAACCATGGGAACTGTAGGGTTTTCCATGAGAATTTACCAAAGTCATGGTCAGTAGTGTGAAATTCCATCATTGGGTCAAATTAAAAATTAAAAATAAATCCACTTTTAGAATTCAAAGAAAATGTTAATTGAGTACAGAAGCATTTTCTTTCATGTATCCTGTCTTTTCACCTTTCTCAGTTAAATGACTCATAGTAGCAGCTGAATGTTTTTACAGACAGTTGGCCCTCTTAGATGCTCCTGTGTTTTTCTTTGTCTCTCTGAAAGCCCAGATATGTCCAGGCTGGCTCCAGTGGGTCAGTCTTGGTGGGCTGCAAATGTTACAGTAGTAGAGAGGCATTTTATTTACTTACAGGAGGATTTATTAGTAGATAATAACAGAGAACTCCTGTAGATCAATATAAAACTGTCAGTTTGACTGGTTTCATTTCTGATTTCTCATGCTTCTTTTGGCTCTCAACTTCTCTTGCCTTTTTCCTAACAAATATATCTACTAGGGTTTTAGCAGGAATTTTTTCTTTGCTTCAGTACATAAATTTCTTCTTGTCTGATCTTAAAAATGGTACCACCAATGGTGTCACATTATAGGAAATTGTATAGCCTGGTTAAAGATGCTTTCTACAGACATTAAGAAACACAAATCTTATATGAGGCTCATCATATAGATTTAGCTGATGCCATGTCGTTATGTACTTACTTATAAATTCCTTTTTCATATTCACTAAAAAAGCCTTCCAGAGCAAGTTATAGGTACAACGATTAAGCTGCAGTTTGTGTTTGAAATAGTTAAGCTGTTTTATTTAATGATACCTGGTAAGACTGACCCACTTCCTGCACTAACCCTCTTCTCTGCACAAACTATGCCTTATTTCATAGCATCTTACACAAACTAAGTTCAGCTTCTTTGATTTTGAGGGAAATGACAGACCAATAGATGGTGCAGGTCTGCTTATTAAAACATGATTGTTCAATACTTTGCTCCTTGAATGAGAATTACATCAGTGCCTCACAGTCAAGTTCCTTTTTCAATTGGAATTAAGATTTTATCTTTTGAATTAGAGGGTAATTGTTTCTCATTTAACTCTTTTGCAATTCCAAATAAAACAATATTACTCAGTTTATTCTCAGAATTATTAGTTTTGTGAAACCAGTTGGAATAATCTGTATGCTTAGGCTGTGAAATGAATACTTCTGTGGAAAGCCTATAGAAATTTCAGTTCTGTTCTTACCCATTTTCCAGGTAGTAGACACTGTATGGTAACACAGATTAAAAAATTCAGTGTATGCTCTGCTTTCTTTTACTTACAGCTGATAGACACCTGCCATTTTCAGCCAGAAATGTCTAAATGTCCTACATAAGCTGCACCAGGGAGATTTAGGTTGGATATGGAGGAATTTCTTCACCCTTCAGAAAGGGTGATTAGCCTTAGGAATGGACTCTTCAGGGAGGTGGCAGTCACCATCCCTGGAGGTGTTTAAGGAAACACTGACTGTGGCACTCAGTGCTGTGGTCTGGTTGACGTCGTGGTGTTCAGTCATAGGTTGGACTTGATGTCAGAAATCTTTTTCAACCTGATCGATTCTGTGATTAAGATAAATGGAATGGCTGGTCTATTTTCCAGTACCATTTGGCAAGTTACGCTCAGAAAGGAAACTTCTGAGTATATATTCATATTATACATATATATTTATAGTCATGTATATTATATAATTACAATACAATGTTTCATAAAATAAATATTTATAATATATCAATAATATTTCAATATATCATCAATAATATTTCTATTCATGCATTTATGTACTCACTGTCAAAATAGGAGAATACACTGGGGACTCGGTGGACTTCTCTGCTGGTTGTAGTTACTTTGTATTTTCACTTATTTCTTGGATAGCAGAATGCTAACTCTGCAGCCACCACCTATTTGTGAGAGGCTTCAAATGTACTGAAATAGATCCTTCACAAGGCTTTCATGTGTCTGAGATCTCATCTGACAGACAAAGATAAGCACAAAGCTAATGCAATTAACCACAAGGTTAATACGATTAAGAATATTCAGCTATCTAAAAAATAAGATGGGGTACAGCTGGCTGGTAATAGTTCAGCAGAAAGAGTCTTGGCATTATAGTGGCTTACAAGAGGAACATGAATTTTCAAATCATGGTAATACTAAAAATGAAAAGCAGAACTCTGATAGATCAAGAAGTATTGCTTGCAAGACACTACTCAACCATGTCTCAGTTAAGAACTGCATCTACATTTAGGCACTACAACCCTTCATTAAAAATTTGCTAACTGTAAAGAGTCAAGAAGAGGGAGAATGATGAAAAGTGAAGTAGTCTCTAAGGAAAGAATCAAATTATTATGATTGTTTAGTCTAGAAAGGAGAAGGTTGATTGGGACACACAGTGTAAGTGTAATCAAGTGCATGCAGCTGCTGCAAAGAATAATTATGAAAAGCTTTCTAAGAGCAAGGATACTGAAGGAATGCAGAAAAATTTTGGCTAGGAAAATTGTGTTTCTGTATTTGTAGATCTTTAGGAAAGTTTGTTTAGAGTGGTACACATATAATTGATAACTGTCTTGAAGTGCAGAAATGTTGTCTTGTTGTGCAGAATGACATTTCGAGTGCCTTTTCAACATCTTGATTCTGTTAATCAATTAAAAGACATAAAGTTCACCTTCTGCCCATTGTCATATGGGTTGAAACAGCTTGCTATACTTTTTTCAAAAATACTTTCATGATTCCCAAATTTGTTGCATTCATGCCACATAGAAATGGCTTATTGGGTTACACTGATTTCTAGAGGCTTCTGATAAGTGTGTGGGGGAAGAAAGAAATGGAAATTAAGAATCTTAGCAGCAATGGTAATACAACTTAAAGGACTGCATAAAAGGTGATTTTAATTATTTTTAGAAATATAATAACTTATTTTGGAAAAATATAGTTCATTCACTTGATGGTGATACAATGTAAACCCCATATAGGCTAAACAAAGGTCAGGTGTACCTTTCTAGTACACAAATATATATACAAAAGACTGGAATTTTGTTATTGTAATGTTTATCTGGGCTTAGAAGCTCTGCAAACTCTGTGGCTGCTCATGCTTCTTTGATCATGAAGCCCTTTGGAAAATGTAGCACCTTTGGA